TCTATTGCCATAGATAGGTTTATTAGACGAAAATACCATTATTACATACTTGCATCAAACATTTGGATAGCAAACTTTACTGTAACTGTTCCCACCGGCTTCGTTTTGTCCCTGACGTCTAAAAGAAAAGAAGAGTTCACCTTAACTCATTTTATGTAGAATCTATATCACCTTTTCTTAAGTGCAACGGCTTTATTAGAGGTCCACGATGATTAGAAGATTCCCTGATTAGCTCCGACAGAGGAACGATACCTTCTTCTGTAATGTAAAATAACTTGAAATCCCTCGTTAAACTTTTCGAGACTAACCTAATAATGGCACATCTGGGCTGAAGAGATTCTTTTTAAGAAGTTTTATGGTGAAACTAAGGGATGTATGTACGAAAGGGAATTGTGCGGTAAGATGCAAATCGGATTTTTTCGTGAGATCCACCTCGAATAACTCGTAAGATTCGCCAAGAGAAAGACGAAGGATTTGCTAAAAGAAATTTTCAAATTAATAAAATTAAAGATCGACCGATTAAAAGAAGTAGCTAACCGAATTTGAATCCAATGTTTTTGAGTTGAAGTTTTGAATGCTCATCACTTCAATCAACAGCCGACCAATGATATTTCCATTTGTCGACACCTTTTAAAAAAAATTTTCAACGCATAACTCAAATGGCAAATGTGTTAACTGTTTAACAACCTTTCCATGCTGCTGTTCGGAAACGGTTATTGCATACATATCAATAGCTTGTTCCAAGTGAGTTTTCCACAAACGACGTGCATTGCTGTTCACGCAACGGAAACAAACGGTATCGTTCCCTAGATCACTTCATTTTTTGCTGGATGTAAATCCTAAGTCCAATAAGAGAACTTAAACCTAAAGCTCATCTAAAGCTATAGCGGTTATACAGATAAATGGATAGATAATGAGCGAATAAACAGTGTAGAGCAAAAAAAAAAACATACCGTGCTTGACATTCAACGTGATGTCGTCATTTGATGGCAGCACTTTGAGATCTGACAATAACATTGGCTGCTTATAGAGTGTTAGCCGTGCTTCCGTGGTTTTTGAGATTTTAAAGGAGTTTGGCTGAAATTCCACGATGCATCTCGATGAGATAACACTTAAATTGCAGTCTTTTCAAAAGAAAAGCTCCACCTCAAGTATATGTTCATCAGGCACCGTAAGCATAAGAAAATCATTGAAGAGTATGGCCACAAGTAAACGTCCACTACGTTGTTTGTAGAGCACGCCCGAAAGAAGAAATGACCTTTCCCCCTAAAAGATACCAAATATTTCGTAACTTTTTTTT